TTTAGGACTAGGTCTGAGACCGTATAGTAGCGTAGACATCTATACTATTCTTAGTAACCGCGTAAACATTAGTAACTACGTCCGGATCCTAAGAAACAAAGTTAACCTTAATAGGCTTAGTAGTACTATTACTGCTCCGCTCCTTAACCTGTTTTGCCCTAACCTTCTAAGTTTCTCGTTTAGCAATAGCGGCGAGGGTACTGTTCCTAGTGTCCTTAAACTCGATCTTGCTACTATACTTCTTTTCTAGAAGGGTCTTTAGCTAAGGCAGCTTCGGGGCTCTCCGATTCTATTCGAAATTAATCTTGTCGCCGGTGTCTATATAGTAGAATCGGCTGTTTGCTTATACGGCAAGCTTCCTTTTAAGAAGCTCTTTCTAGATAGGGCAGGACGATTAGATACACCCAAACCCGCTATATATCTAGCACTTGCTATCTAAGTTAGAATAGATCTTCTATATAGCGTAGACATCTACTAAAGGGGCTTTAGGGTAGTTAGGATCTAAAACCTAGTAGACTAGTAGTATATCGCCTAGTATAGTAGTATTAATAACCTCCCTAACTCGCTATAATGCTTTCGCATTTAGGTTTAGCTAGGCTAGGGATTTAGCTAAGTCCGCGACATCCTAAGAGTGCTTAGTAACCGTAGGAGTTACGGCCTTAGGACTACTTTGCGATTTAGGAAGGAACTTAGGTCCCTTGCTTCCTAAGGCTTCTTTCCTAACTTGCGCTAGGTTATTCCGGTCTTCGCCGTAGATAAACTTCCTCGTATCGGCTATACTATTAATGTCGGCCTTAATATATACTAGGACCTCTTTATATTTCCTAAAGCTCTTAGGATCGGCCTCGCTAAGCTTATAGCGACGGAAGATACGCTAAGCTATAGGCTACGGCAATCCCTAGAGGAGTAGCCTCGTTCTCTAAGAGTTTTCGAGGTTACTCTGCTCGATGCCGTCCGCTAACTCGACAAATTCGCGGACGTACCCCTTTAGGTCGTTATCCTTAGTACGCCTTACCGAGTAGAGGGATTCGAGCTACGCGCGACTGCCTTTAATGCGACGGCTATCGCGCTCCCGATACTCCCTTAGAAAGGCTAACTTAAAGACCTCCTAGTTAGTATTAGACTTATCGTCCTTTTCTAGGTAGCTAACTAGGGTCCTAAGGGTTCGGTAAAGCTTAGTAGAAGTAGTCCTCGTAAGGGACCGGATCTTGTACTAGTCGGACTCTCTATCGAGTTCGTACTTAACTAAGCCTTCCTTAAAGCGTTCTATATATACTATAGCGTTCTACCCTTCGAATAGGGGATTTGTACTACTTCCTAGCTCTAGCGGGCGACGCTTGTTTTAACGGAGAAGCTTAGTTTGCTTCTCTATTATCTTTATAAGGATAGTATAGAGCGCCTCTAGTATAGAGGGCGTAGGAGGCTTACTTATATTAACTAGTCGCCGCCTAATTTCTTCGTTAATAGGATTAGGGGCGTTTTCGGATTCAAAGGATTCCGCTAATTCTTAATATTCGTTTTCGCTAGAGCTAGAGCTTATTCGATTATTATAAAATAGTTGAAATAGCTAAAATAGAATGCTATATAAAGTTAAAATAGAATACTATATAAATGTGTTTTTAGTAACTTTAGTCTATTTAGTTTGTTATAATATTGCTATACGAGAGAGTAGTGTATTAGGCTATTTCTCCTAGTATTACCCCTAGGGTAGTATTAGGATTTAGCCTCTTAGGGGTCGCCTAACTACCTCTAGGAGCTTAGTTTAGTAGATTTTAGACAAAAGCCGCTCGGAGGGAGAGACTGCAATCTCTATTCACTCCTAGATCCTAGAAACTAGCTCGTATCTCCTTTAGCTAGGCAGGGGGGCGGTAGCCTTCTTTTTCTAGTAGAAGGCTAAGTACTGTCTAAGCGAGGCTACGAATCTAGGAACGCCCTACCCGATTAATAGGGGACTCCCCGGCTATCCGACCTACAATCCGTATTTACTATTAATTAATAGTCTTAGCAAACCAAGCAAGGCCGATAGGTAATTAGTCTATCTCCTCCTTAGGCGGGGCTTATCTCGAGCAAGCGGTACTAAATAGGTCTTCGACCCGGAGCCGAGTCCTTAGAAGCTAGCTATAGCTATAGACTAGGCCCTAAGCTGTAATAGTCCTAAGGGTTTGTAGCTTTTTAGGGTTAAAGCGATGCCCTCGTTAAGAGGTTTCTCTACTTGTCGTAATAGCCCCTTAAGATACTTCGGTATCGTCCGTATCGTAGGCTCTTATCGTGCTCTCGCTTTAGTTATAGTCATTCGTGCCTAGAGACTACCTTTAACATACCCGAACCTGTTAGATATAAAGAGATAGCCCTACCTTCGGCTCTAATAAAGGACGGAAACTATAACTACTACTACTACTAGCAGTAATAGTATAGGCTACCGAGGGTAATATAACCTATAGCAATATAGGCAGCTATGTTTAGCATAATAGGATAACAAGACGGTTACTTAGGCTAATAACTAGAGCCCTACAACATAGGCATTATAGAAGTGTAATATAAACAATATACTATACGAGGTTAGTGCTCTATCTACAATGCAGAAGGAGGCCTCTTATATAGGCTCAAAACTTAGCCTAGGTGTATAGGGCCGGTTACTAGCCAATACTAGAGACTACCTTTAACATACCCGAACCTGTTAGACATAAAGAGATAGCCCTACCTTCGGCTCTAATAAAGGACGGAAACTAATACTACTACTACTACTAGTAGTAATAGTATAGGCAACCGAGGGTAACATAACCTATAGCAATATAGGCAGCTATGTTTAATATAATAGGATAACGAGACTATCGCTTAGACTAGTAACTAGAGCCCTACAATATAGGCATTATAGAAGTGTAACATAAACAATATGCTATACGAGGTTAATACTCTATCTACTATATAGAAGGAGGCCTCTTATATAGGCTTAAAACTTAGCCTAGGTATATAGGGCCGGTTACTAGCTAATACTAGGCATAAATATAAGCGCTAAAGGGAAGGTTTAGTTAAATTAATTAAGTAAGGCAATTACAAGCAATAGTAAGCCGTATTCGTTAGTTTTATAGGTACAATCTATAACTATTATATCCGGACAATTCTTATAGATATTAATTATCTTAGGGTACGAGAAATATAGCTATTCTAGCCGTTGCTTACCGCCGCCTTGTCTAGTACTAATACCCTTCTATACAAAGTAGTTCTATTATAGGAGGTCCTTAATCGTCTTATCGACTACTAATTTGCTAGCGAGTCGCAACTTCTTAGCCTTTTACTAGGCATTTAAGATGTCTCGTAAAGTAGTAGGTACGATAGGCGATTGCTAGTCTCTACTACTAAAACGGAGCTTAATAGCGGCCTTAATCTGTCGATTAGTAACGCCTATAGACCTTAACTATAATATAGCCTTAACAATCTCTATTATACGAGCTCGGCGGCGGTAATTAGCTAGTGCTATTAGATAGACTGCTAAATAGTTATAGTTAGAGCTATTAAATATAAGAGACTAGGTGCTATTATCGGGGTCCTTCTAGTCGTCCGTAGTAAGGGCTATAGACTAAGGGCAATTACACTTCTTCGAGCGGCCCTTATAAGTCTTAGTAGTAGAATAAAGAAGCCTTCTCTCGTTACGCTTCTTCCTTGCCGCCTCGCGTAATACCGGTATCGAATACTTAGCGTAGCGTAGTAAGAAGGTCTAGTAAGTATAGTCCTTATTACGCTTATAGCCGGTCCTTCTAAGCTTAAACCCCTTCTCTAATACGAATAGGTCTATATAGTCCTCGGCTGCTATAACACTATTAAATACCTAGTTTTCGGTGTTCTCGATAGTTGCGTACGACCTAGGTTTATATGCCTCTACTTCTAACTCGGACTAGTTACTATATTCGTCGTTATTGCTAAAGTTATAGGCTAGTTGTTAAGGAGACTCGATTTCTACCGAAGGAGGGCGTTATTCCTATTGCTAACTAACCCCGCTTTCCCTATTATTACTATTACTACTACTACTACTACTACTACTACTACTACTACTACTACTACTACTACTACTACTACTACTACTACTACTACTACTACTAACTTCTTCCTCTTTACTATTCTATTTATTATTCTATTTACTATTCTTACTACTTAGTAGCATCCTCTTACTAGGTATAGTATATAGTATAAAGCGGATCGCTTTATGCCCTACTTCGTACTATTCTAGTAAATTGTCGAGGAAGGGGATAGTTAGGTTAAGGGTCTCGAAGGTACTATCTAGCTTACTAGCTAACTAGCTAGAGGGATTAAGACTATCGTATCTAGCCTTATACTAATAACTAATATAGCGCTACTAGTACGACCGCTCGCTCTCTACTATATCTTCCTAGAAGTCTAAGAGGAATTGCTTTAAATACTAACGGTCGACACCCTCCTAGTACTAGTAGGCTAGGTAGTCCTTTAGTCTATATATCTATTTAACCTATAATTTAAGGCCTCTAAGGTCGCCTAGGTATAGCTTTTACTCTTACTATAGCCTCTTACTACGCATTCTTTATAACTAGAAGACCTTAGGATTATATAATTAAATAGGGGCGGCGGCGGTAGTAGCGGCGGCGGCGGCGGCGGCGGTAGTAGCGGCCTTATACTCGGCTTATAACTACGTAGAAGGGCTTAATAATATAGCTAATCGATAGCGACGGTAAGGTTAAAACAGCGATTAAAACAGCGGTAACGGTGAGGTCTAGTAGTAGAGAACTTAGCTAACAAATTTGCCTTAGGCCTCCTCCGTGATCGGATGCCCGGATTCTCGAATAACCGGAGTGGATTCTCGAATAGTCTCGCCCCCATAGTCGGCAATTGACTCGCCTCGCCGAGCGATATATGACTTGTTAGGGTATCACATATATCTCATCAGTCTATCAACGAATCTACATCCTCGCCCTCGGCATCCATGATATCCACGCATGCGTTTCGGAACTTCGAACAAGCGGCTCAAGCAGCGCAGTATTGACCATGCCAGGATGAGCATGGTCAACATCCGTGACTCCACTCAGCTTCATCGACGTTACAAGCTCGTCTTTGAGAATTTCAATCAAATGCTCCACACCCTCCTGCCCGTAGCCAAGAGCGTACAGCCAAGGTCTACCAATGCCAACCGCCGTGGCTCCCAGCGCAACGGCTTTGAGGATGTCGGTGCCTCTCGTGAAGCCGGCATCGACATAGACCTCCAGCCGCTGGAACGCCGCGGGACAGGACTTGTGCATCTCTAACAGAGTCATCGCTCCAGCTTAGTGATGCGTCGTTTGCGATGGCACATGAGGTTCGCTTGGTGTGAGACAAGATCGGTCGCTGCGGACGAGTAGAATGCGTAAGTCTTGGGTGTGAAAGTTTCTCGTGCGACATGTTCAAAATCGTGCGCGGAGATCAGGCTGTAGAGATCTGGTTTGGCGGGCTTGGGAAGCAATGCGAAGGAAGAGTGTCTGGATTTATTGAGCCCATATTTTGTTCTTTTGAAAGAGCTTCGACAATCCCTGGTGCATGAATCTCGTCGAACGCAGCTGTCGCATCTCTACCTGCATATTTAAGGATGACTACTGCCTCTTTAGCAACCCGCCAGCTTGTGGTCTGATTTGTACGTTGACGCACTGCCCGATGCACCTGGGTGATCCAACGCCGATAAGTCGTATTCTATACTTGGCCGTGAATTGCAAGCCAACAGTCTCCAGGCGTATCATGCTTACGCATATCTTCGTACAATTGCCCAGCATGTGATTGAGCTCGAACGTAGAAATACATGCTCTCACGCAACGATGTCTCGGAAGAAGTCATCCGAAGTTCTGAGCTGGGTGGGCGATCGGAGGGAGGGCGCCGAGTTCAGCATGCATGCATGCATTGCCTAGACTACTGTATCGGCGACAGCTGCGATGGCTGTACGCGAGTATTCTATGCTGTGATGAGGATTGACGTGAAGCGTGAGGCGATATCGCGGCGGCAGACGGGAATATGGGTGATGTTGGTGTAGAACTGGAGATGGAAGAAGCACGTCCAATCTCAAAGGCGGAAGTGTTGTCGCGTCTGCCAGCCTCGAGACGAGTCACCCGGGAGCAAGTTTCGCAGCAAGCAGTGCTCGTCGTTCTCGACGACGACGACCCAACGGGCACCCAAACCTGCCACGACATCAGCGTTTTGACCGTCTGGGACGAAGAGACGTTGCGTGACGAATTCGAGTCCGAGTGCGCCGGCTTCTTCATCTTGACAAACTCCAGAGCGCTACCACCCACGGAAGCGCGTCTACTGGTCAAAGAGATATGTCGGGCCGTGAAGCATGCAGCTGCGGAGGCTGGCAAGACGTTCGAGATAGTGCTGCGAGGGGATTCAACTTTGAGAGGCCACTTCCCTGACGAGCCAGAGGCTGCCGAGGAGATTCTAGGAGAGGCGGACATGTGGATACTGGCCCCTTTCTTCGAACAGGGAGCACGGCTGACGATTGAGGATACGCATGATGTTGCGAGTCCTGATGGGCAACTCATACCTGCCGCCCAGACTCCATTTGCGAAAGATGCTCCTTTCGCTTATACCCAGTCGAATCTGCGTCAACACATTCGTAGTCCGCTTTGGCAGTACCGTGAAGCCACTGCAAAATTCCCGGGATTGCCTTACGTCGTATTTCCAGGCAACGTTGGTGAAAGAGATACGCTCAGAGACCTGGTGGCGCGCTGGGCCAAGTCGAAAAACCGCGACTCCTTCCAGCCTATGCAATACCAGAGGCTGGGAAGCAGTGGCTTGAAGGTCTCGCGTTTGATTCTTGGATGCATGACTTTTGGCAATCCAAACTGGGAAGGAAGTCCATGGATCTTACCTGAAGAGCAAGCACTGCCGCTGCTGAAGAAAGCTTACGATCAAGGCATTTCCACTTGGGAGACAGCAAACAGCTACTCGAACGGAGAGTCGGAAAGGATCATCGGCAAGGCGCTGAGAACCTACGATATCCCCCGAAGCAAGGTCGTGCTGATGACCAAGCTTTACTATCCCGTGCTCGAAGGTTCACATCGCAGACCTCAGCCGGCATCAAACGATGGCGAGCTGGTCAACCAGATGGGATTGAGCAGAAAGCACATTTTCGACGCGGTAGAAGGCTCTTTGCGCCGGCTCGGCACTTCGTACATCGATGTGCTGCAGCTCCATCGTCTCGACAACGACACGCGTCCCGAGGAGGTGATGGAAGCTCTGCATGACCTCGTGAAAATGGGGAAAGTCCATTACATTGGTGCTTCGAGCATGTCTTGCTGGCAGTTTGCCCGCCTGCAATACACAGCAAAGATGCACCACTGGACCACATTCACGAGTATGTCTGGGTTGTACAATCTTTTGTATCGCGAAGAAGAGCGAGAAATGATTCCGTTTTGCGAGGCCGAGGGCGTGGGACTCATCCCGTGGTCACCCGTTGCCAGAGGACTTCTCACTCGACCGTGGTCGGAGCAGACAGATCGAAGCAAGAAGGATGTGAAGACAGCCAGATGGTTCCAGGGCGATCAGAATGAGATAATCGTGAGCAGAGTGGAGAAGCTGGCGAAAAGCAAGCATTGCTCAATGTCAAGCCTTGCGCTCGCATGGCTTATGCACAAGAATGCCTGTCCCATTGTCGGATTGAACAGCATATCAAGGATTGAAGCTGTTTCTGAGGCTCTGGGCATCAATTTGACTGCAGCTGATATGCGGTTTCTAGAGGAGAAGTATCAGCCACTAGCTCCACAGGCCATGTAAAGAAGCTCAATCGGCACATTGAAAGCACCAAAACTCCTTCATCCATTCCCAACGACTTCTGCCGTACCGAACGAGCTCTGTAGCATCTCGGAAGCTGTCTCCGCGATGACGTATTGGTGTACTGCGTTCTCACGGGCATGAACATTCATCTCGGACACCGTCAACGAGAGATCGGCAGGATCCGAGTGCATCAATACCATTCACGTGCCTTACTAGCGCTTAAGTGTCCAGACAAGAGTCTCACAAAGGCCGGTAATGTGAGCTCTGTACGCTGTCTGCGTGATCTCAAGCAGTGAAGGGACTCAGTCCTCGCCAAGATGGGAAACGCTCACGATGCCAAAGCAAACATCCTCATTACAGGCGCAGGCGGTTTCATCGGCCAAGCCCTAGCATCTGCCCTACTCAATGACGAGTCTGTTCAAAAAATCACCTTGACAGACGTGTCAATCCCCAAGAAACCCGCCAATATAAACACCACTTCCAGCCTGGAAATCGAAAGTGTTGCCGCCGACTTGACAACTCCTCAAACATGCGAGCAAATCCTCAAGCCCGAATTCACCCATATTTACCTCCTCCACGGAATCATGTCCGGTCAAGCCGAAGCCGATTTGGAACTCGGACTGCGCGTCAACATCGATTCCATGCGCTACATCACGGACGTCCTGCGCAAACAAAAAAGAGGGGCTCCAATCCGAATCATCTTCCCTTCTAGTCTTGCCGTTTTCGGGCCTTCCAAAGATGGAGAAGTCGTCACAGAGAAGACTATGCCTTTACCGCAGTCATCTTATGGCGCCGAGAAAGCTATCGTGGAAACGCTTCTGAATGACTTTTCTCGACGACGTCTGTTGGATGCGAGAATCGTTCGTCTACCGACGATCATTGTCCGACCTGGTAGGCCGACTGGTGCGGCTTCGTCGTTCTTCTCGGGCATCGTTCGAGAGCCTTTGAATGGAGAGACGGGTGTTTTGCCCGTGAGGAGGGATCTCAAGGCATGGGTATGCTCGGCTCGGACTGTTATCAGAAATCTGGTCGCTGCTAAAGACATTCCGGAAGAGCGATATATCGGAGAGAGTCGGATTGTCAATCTTCCGGGGAAGACTGTTACTGTTCAGCAGATGCTAGATGCACTTCGAGATGTGGGTGGACAGAAAGCGAGGGATCTGGTTAAGGAGGAATTTGACGAGAACGTGGCTAAGATTGTTGGGCCATGGCCTGCGGAATTTGATACGACGCGAGCGAAGGAACTCGGGTTTCAGGATGATGTTTCTTTGGAACAGGCTTTTCGGGACTACATAGAGGATTACATGCAGCGCTGAAATCTTGGTTCAAGGCACAAGTTCGACATCATGAATGTGAAATCAACCACTAAAAGAAGTCTACTTCCTAAACAATGAATGCCCTAGATGTCGAAAAAAAAAATGTAGCTTCCTTCCTCCAAATCTTCCTACTTACTCCCGATCCACCACCCCAGGATCAAACCTCACATACTTAATCCCCTGCCTCCAATACGTAAAAGCAACATTCACCCCTCCATCCTTCCCAACCACAATACTCGGATACGAAAGCTCCCGATTCAACTTCATCTCACTATTATTCGTCAAACAAAACCCATCCCCCTCCTCCAGCACCCTGTGTTTCCACTCCATGCCACCATCATCACTCCAACCAACACACAACGGCGCCCTAGGCGCGCCCCAAAACGCCTCCTTGCCCGCATGCTTACTACCCTGATTCCTCCTCAAATCATCCGCGGCAGCGATATCATCATATAAACCTTCCCTCCTGCCCCGAGCGTTCACGCGAGAGGAATGATTATACACAACCAAAATCCGACCGGAAGGGAGGACATCGAAACAGATACCCGCATTGGGATTCGGGAGAGGGGTTGGGATGGGTTCCGACCAATCGATTCCGTTGCGCGAAGTGGATTTATGGATGAAGTCTGCCCATCGACTGCGGTAGAAAGCGAGATAGGATTTATCTGGCAATTGTCGAATCGCCATATGCACCGCTCCGAAACTGTGTGGCACCTCTTTCTCCATCCAGGTTTTGCCTTCGTCTTGGGAAATTCGCAGGGCGGAGATGTCGTCGTTGCCTACCCAGCGTGTTCCGGGTTCGGAACGGCACTTGAAAGTTGGGATGACCCAAGTGAGACCGTCGTCGAGGATGATGACGGGTTGGCGGATGAAAGTGCCGGGTTCGGGGAAGAGGATTGTAGGTGTAGACCAAGAGATTCCGTTGTCGTGAGAGGATTGTTTTTTGACGAGGGCGGAGTCTTGGTCGCCTAGGTTTTGGGATGTGTAGAGGAGCCAGAGCTCGCCGGAGGGGGTTTGGAAGAGGACTGGGTTTTGTTCGCTTCGGGTTGTGTCGAATGTGACGCGCGAGGCTTGGGACCAGGAGGTGGAGGCTGGGGTTTTTCGAGAGAGGTAGATGCTGATGTCGGGTTTGCCTTCTTGTGTTCCTCCGAACCAGGCACAGAGCATGTCTCCATTATCCAGGATCAAGAGATTGGAAGCGTGGCATTGCGGTGTTGTTGATGGGATGAAGCATTCTGAGTGTGGAAATGGATGTGATTTGGTGGTCAGAGTGAAGTTTTTAAAATCTGGCAATGTTTCCTCATAGCTGCCCATTTTGTCTGTGTGTAGAAGAAGTGGCGTTGTGAATGTCCTGACTGATTGAATCGCTAGACATGCTACCTAAAGCGGACAGTACTTACACAGACCATCAGGCACCGGACTACTTATCTCGGCGGACTTCAGCCGAACGGGAGAATGTCGAGGCGGGAAAGTGTCCGCAGGATCATGCGACTCGGTCGATGCCGCGTGTATAGTCGGAACAGCTTCTCCGGTCTCATGGGCATGGCACTTTCTCCACACTTTCGTACTCTGGGGTGATCTGGAGATGCGGAGTGGGTATTTTCACATTGCGGCAGTTCTTATATCTTGGCCTTGTGCCGTCGATTTCCCCAAGCTTTCTTGGTCTCTTCTGCCACGAGATTCCAAGCCGTTCGACACCTTGGCTTGTAGTCAGGGATAGCATCTGAGCACTATGGCAGGCGGAACGAGCATTTGGGTGTCCAAGGATGCGAAGACAGATCCCAAGCAGATTTTCAATGGGCGACTGTTGTACCTGCTAATCACTTTGGCCTGGGCTGGTTGCTTTTATGGATTCGATTCTGGAAATATTGGTGGCATTCTCACACTTCCATCCTTCGAAAATGCATTTGGGCTCGGTGGTCTGTCGCAAGAGGCGCTGGACAATCGAAGCGTAGGTCGTTCTGAAAAACCACCCGAGTTCGTAGACTGATCACTCGAAGGGCACAATCGCCGCTATGCTTGCGGCTGGAGTAAGTCTTTTAGCCTTAGGGGCTACCGAATCGAGTTGATGCTAATGCTATCGTAAAGGGCTCGGCTGGTGCCCTTTGCGCTTGGCCGACAGCAGATTTCATCGGTCGCAAATGGTCTGTATTCCTCTGGGGAATCGTCTTCCTCGTCGGTGCCACTATGCAGATGATCTCCGACTACGACGTGCTCCTAGCAGGCAGATTTATCGGCGGTATGGGTGTTGGTGCTTCATCTATGCTGAGCCCACAATTCCTAGCAGAAAATGCACCTAAGAGCGTCCGCGGTTCGATGACCGCGACCTATAATCTTATGATCATCTTTAGCTTGGCACTTGCCTTTTGGATCAATTACTGTGTCAGCCTTTGGCACAACGCGGAGCACAATGACACGCAATGGAGGGTTGCGATGGGTATACAGCTGATACCGGGAGCCATGATGTGTCTGATGATTCCATTCATTCCAGAGACTCCGAGATATCTGATAAATCGTGGCAAATCGGAGCAGGGCCTGAAGAACCTGGCCAGTCTACGAAAGCTGCCGGTCGATCACCCGTATATCCAAACAGAATACCAGGAGATTGAAGCTCAAGTGCGGTTTGAGCAAGAGGTGAGAAGACACTATTCACAAGCGGTCTTTGGTCGGTGAGCTAATATTTTCCAGGCTCATCGAGGTCACAATGTCTGGGTCATTCTCCAAGATATTTTCACCAATAAGAGCAACGCCCAGCGTTTCTTCCTGGCAGTCATGCTGTTCCTCTTCCACAAGTTCACCGGAACAGATAGCTTGAATTATTATGCTCCAAGTATTGTTCACGAGAAGTCATTCCAGGTCGCTGCTAATCAGGTTCTAGGCATTTTCAAACTGATCGGAGTGAAAGGCAACAGCAATACACTCTTGACCACTGTGAGTTTTCTTGCGGGCTGATCTATGCAGGCCGTCCGTTGCTGACTATGTCCAGGGCGTCTATGGCATCGTGAAACTCGTGACGACAATATTTTACGTGGGTTACCTCGTTGAGTAAGTCCTTCCGTTCGAGATCTGCTTGTGGTTGCTAATGCATCCGTCAGTCGCATTGGTCGTCGTCTGCCTCTTCTCATTGGCGCTACCATTCAAGCAACAGCAATGTTATACCTAGCGTTGTATATCCGCTTTGCTGGCGGCAATGCAAGCGATGACACGGTCGGAGGCACTCCGGCTGGTGGGATCGTGGGAATTGTCTTCATCTACCTTTACGCGTTTGGCTGGAGCTTCGGGCACTCAGTTGCATGCTACGTGGTGGCTGCAGAGATTTTCCCGACCAGGATACGAGCTTTCTGCATGTCGTTCTGCTTCTTCGTCAACTGGATCGTTGACTACGGCATCACCAAAGCGACACCAGTTATGCTCACTGAGATGGGATGGTGAGTAGCTCGCTGTGTTCGACCCCGTCGCCTGTGCTGACGTCCGCAAAGGGGGACCTTCCTGCTATACGCCGTGTTGACATACGGCGGTGTGGTCTTTGTATACTTCTGCCTTCCCGAGCTTAAGGGTCGGTCTATCGAGAGTATGGTAAGCAAGCAACGACAGACCACTACTGCTCCGAGACACATGCTCACCGGCGTATTACCGCCTTTCAGGACGATCTCTTCCAGAAGCCACTATGGACCATGTGGCGTCACGCGTATCCGACGGAAGAGGAAAAGATAAGATCTGACGTTCAAGAAATGATTCACGCTGGCAAGCTGGAGCGGGGAGACTCGATTGTTGAAAAGAGCGGCGCAGCGGTGCATGTAGAAAAGGCCTCAGATTGATACGAAGCACAATTCGAGTGAGTCCATATGAGTGATTGAAGTACCGATGGTGGCGGTATAGTCGACTCCTGAGCCGAGGAGATGTCGGTGGCTGTGATGTGTCTCACGTGCGGCGCAAGATGAGCTGTACAAGGCATGCCGTTTCCACAGCGCAGCTCGAGAAGATCGACGTTGGACGGAGAGAGCAAGTCGGCCAGCAGTCTGTCTGTCCACGCAATGTTCGGCGAGGGCAGCTTGGTGATGAAGTCAAAGGTAGAGGAAGTAGGGCGGTAGGGCGGTATGGCGTGAGGATTGTGGCTTTGTACAGTACGCGGCACAAACTCGTGCTTGTTAGTTCTGCGCTTCTATTCTACCGTGGCGATGAGAGTCAGCATGGAATACTCGGTGTAGGGGGTCCGTCTTGGCAAGTTTAAACTTCCCGGCCGGCCGGCTTCATTTTCACGCTTCTCGCACGCATCTTTATCGCATCGCATCGACATCGACATTGGACACGCGCTGATGGAAAGTGCGAATGTTCCCAACGACTGTGCTGACGATAGAAGGATCATTCCGCCCCACTGGAACATCCGATAAAAGCTAGTATTACTACTGTATTAGCTCCTTAACAGACTAG